CATGTATGATTAGAAGGGACTTTTTAAGGCACGTAATGTAGGTCATGGTTCATGGTTATGAAAGAAAATGATAAATAGGCCCAAACAAGTATTTCAGGGTATTGAACCAAGGATCAATTCATTCTGATGCCTTCAATCCTATCTTGCTCAATTTGAATATGCTCGTATGTGTTTCTCTATTGATGCTCTATGATCTTCGAGTAAAGTGATTCTGGAATGATTGTGATTGATAAATCTCATAATTTGAAGCTTGATGCGCCATTTGACTTGAGGGAATCTTTATGTGTGCTTATTGTCTTCATTTTTTCTTTACTTTTTTCCTTTGTTTTTTTCCTTTTTTTGTTTTGATTGGATCTTCGCACTTGGCATTGGTTCACCTTTTGGTATCTCCTTTGGATTGATATCTTCACTCATGTGAGTAGATTTCTTCCACCTTGCCCCCCCAGTGTGGAGGATGATCCTTGGTTAGGGTTGAATCAGAAGAAAAAATATTATAGGCTTAAAAGGGGATAACAAGGGATACATATATAGATAAATGAAACAAAGCCATTCATCATCTCATACACAAAAGTCTTCACAGAAGAGGTATCTCCAGGGGGATAGATTTTTAGGATTAAGTTTTATTCACATGAAAACAATGTAATTAATGCATGATAGAATCATTTCAAAGTAATTATCCTTTCTGCTTCTTGCTCCCGGCATGCCTTAATTGCTCAGGCTCGTCCTCAGAAGATTGCTTTGAGATGCCCCACATTGTTTATTCTAGTATGAAGGTTCATGTTCAAGTGAAGATTCAACGTCTGTAGGTTTTATGGGTAAAAAAATGTTGGCTTTGCGTCTAAGAAGACAATGGTGTGACTTTATTGACTCGAAGGTATCGATATGACTCTCCATGGATTATTTTGGGTAAAGAATTGAGGGATTTTTTGTTTTTGTTTTTTTAACATGATAAGAAAGGTCTGATCTTGCCATAGGTCAAAAATCTATAATTCTTGAAGAATTAAAAGAATTCTTAATTCATTTAATATTCGAAGAACTAAATATTGAAATTTGCTCAATTATTCCACCTTAGAAGTTAACATAAATTCAGTCGTTTAAAAGATTAAGCAAACATGAAAGATCAAAAAACGTGTTCAAACAAAACAATGCTCTCAGTACAAATGATAGGTGCAATACCCTTTCTTCGATTATTCATGTCCCTTAATCCATCAGGTTTTGGATCCTGTGCTTCAGTGCCTTACCATTCTCAGAGGCATGTCTGGAGCTTCCTATGTGATAACTGTGCAAGATATCAACATCGTAACCCTCGGGATATGGGGACTCTTTTGTCAAATCATTCTGAAAGGATTAAGCTCCAACTGTACTGATATCAATTTTTCTTTAATTGTTCAAATATTGCTTCCATATGGTGTCACGTGATTAAGAAAACTGCATCGAATCCTCCATGAAGAAATTTCATGTTTATAAACATGCTTAAAAATGAAATGTATATGCAAAAAATACAAAAATGCATGAAATGTTCGAGGCATTGATCCAAAAACATGTTTTTTATGATAAATAATCCTTATTGGGGACAAAAGTGTTTTATCTTTTAAGAGACAAAAAATATTCTGACAGCTTCTGACATATTTACTAGTCTTCTGCCTTCGTTTGCAAATGTTGAGTTGCTTTTTGTACTGGTCCAAGAAGTCTCGAATGACTACATCTCTGACATTTACTTTTTGTTGAACCTGTTTCTAATGAATACGTCATTGGAGCCCTCAATTGATAGGAACTATGTGAAGTTCATTTGTATGTTTCTTGAATTCATCAACAATGGTCTCCAATTTCAGCTATCGTTTTGCCATCTTGTTCTTGTTGTTTTTGAAGAGAGTCTTCAGATCAGCAACCTTCATCTTGTCCCTGCAACCTTTGTCAGTCAGTTCTTGAAAGGTTGACTTTCGTTGTGTTTGATGTAGACCTGATCCATTTTGATTCCTTCGCAATGCAACAACATAGTATACTCTTCGATTGTAGGCACCATGTCATATTGGTTAAAGGTGAAACAGTTATACCTCGGATTCCAGAATTGAATGTGACACATAGTCACCTTGTAGATTGTCCTGCATTTTTCATCTCTTGTATTACAACCCCTTTGTCCATTAATGCAAACTACTCATGTTTAACAAACACGCTTTTATGGATCAACACCTCTTGCATTATATTATGACAATGCAAATGCAATGCAGAGAACAATGAAAAAAAATGACACAAACAAAAGAAGGGAGATAAATTAGTGTACTCAAACAAAACAAGTGAAATTGGTTAGTACATGTAAAACAATCGGTATATATAAAAAAATGTCATTCAAAGATGAATATAACACCTACCCAGTCATGATATCTACTCGAACATGCTTTAATTAAATAACATCCTACCCAAACATGCTTTCTACCCACAATGATGTATTTACAAGAAATTAATCCTAACCGCATGGTATCTAGTTCACATGCTGTCATTCAACAAAATTTAAAGCAAAAGAAAAGGTTAAAAAATGCTCCTCCTTTGTGTACACTTAATTTGGGTACCTACTGAATAGAGGTTCAGTATGACTATACCTATGGTGACTGTGCTACGGTTCACTATATGCATGGTTATGGCTCTATGAGCATAAGGGTACTCGAATTGTCCTTGATATCGGTGACCCCTTGGGCTACCAAACCCTCAATCCTAACCCATTACAGGCTTAAACGGATAGAGTTCAATTCGAGGGGATATATTCCCTTATGCCTGCACGGTGAATAAATTCACACGAAGACATAAGGTATATGAATCCCAAAGGTTACTTGCTAGGCCCATACGGAGAATAAATTCTCACGAAGGCGTCGCTTTCGCCCCCACTTAGAAAGCGTTCGGAGCTCGGGTATAGAGCTTAATTTATGCAAATGCATGTGATGTGTGTCAGGAGGAACATTCAACTCTTTGACTCAAAAGGAAAATGAAACCACTTGATAAAAACTTGGACATATCTGAAAGCAAAAAATCAAAATGTTAGTATAACAAAAAATGAAGCAATTACAAACTTCAATAAAGGATCATAAGTTAACTAAATACTTGAACTGATAATTTCCAGCAAACGACAATATGTAAGTGACTTACAGCCTGACTCTCTAAAAGTCCCCAGCGGAGTCGCCAAGCTGTCATAACCGTTTTTAGGTGGGACAATTAAATATTGTTTTAAAAACAGTTACCACTTTTAATTTTGGAAAATGGGTATTTTTAATTAAATTGAATAAAATTGGATAGAGTCGCCATCAAACTTTGGGTTAGGTAGGTCGAATACCTAAAAACGTCTTTTAAAACAATTTTAAGAAAAATCATTTTTAAGACAAAAGTTAGTCTGCGTTTACCAAAAAATTATATTAAAACGGGTTCCGGAGTCGGTTACATGTGGGGAAGGATCCCACAACGTCCAAAATTGGTACTGTTTCGCTTACACGTTGTCGTAATGGTGGAAATCTTGAGTCAAATATCAAGTTAAAATATGATCCATTTATTAAATATTAATAACTTGCTTCAAATTAATTAATTAAAGAAACTATTTATTTGAATAATATATCTAGCAAAAACATGAACTTAAAGGATTAAATGGTAAAAACATAAACTCAAAAGGCTAAAATAGCTAAAACAGATATTTAAATGACATAAATAGAAAAAACAGAAACTTAAGTGACTAAAATAAAATAACAGAAACTAAAGTGTCAAAATCAAGAAAACATATATATTCATATGTTGGAATGAAAAACACATATAAAAGTTCAGGGATTAAACAGAAATTATACCAAAAATACATAACATGTGTCATGAATGATTCACCGGCAATCGTTTTGTTGTGTTGTCGTTCCACCGTCCGATCGTTCTAAAATTTCATTATGTTGTTCGTGTTGACCTCGCACAACCTTTGACCGTTCGGAATGTTGATCAGTGCTCCCGATCGCCGGCGAGAGGCCACAAATCGTCCGAATTTGTTTTCATCCATTCACCACCATCTGATCGTCCTTAAATTTTAGTATGCTGTTCGTGTTGACATGACATAATTTTCAATATTTGGAATGTTGATCGGATATCCCGATCGTCGGTAAAAAGCCAAAAAACCGTTCGGCTTATTTTCTTCGATATGTCGTCATCCACCGTCCGATTGTCCTGAATTTTTAGTATGTTGTTTGTACTGGTCTCGTGCAACTTTTGACCGTTCAGAATATTGATTGGTGATAGTCTTGCGCAACTTTTGACCATTCGGAATGTTAATCGAATATTTTGATCACCGGCAAGAATCCGGTAGAATCACTGAAGCTTTTTTTTTCTCTCTCTCGTATTTGCCTTCCCATGTTTTCTCCCCTGGTGTCTGACCCTTCTCTTTCTTTTTATGGTGGCCTCCTTGCATGTAGTGGTAGATGTAGTGGATTAAGTGGGTTGAGTGGGTTTATTTTAGTGGAGAGTTAGGTGTGTTTTAGTGAAATAATGAAGATAGTGGGGGGACAAAAATTCGTGATGACACTTAGGTATTATCCTTATGAATGTTGTGATAGATGTAGCATTCTACAAATTCGAGAAGGGCCGCTGGTCGAGAGAGTATAGAAGAATCGGGTAGTGAAAGCTATGAAGAGAATAGTGAACATCCGATTCCGCTTGAGAATGCCAGCGCTCCAGTACCTCAGAGTATGCATGTTCCAGAGGTTGGAGCTTTTATGCAAGCTCTCGACACTATTTTGACAAGGTTCCAACCTTCTCCGCCTTCCCTTGCTCCTCCAGTACTGCGAATGCAAGTTCTGAAGGAGTTGAGAAGTTTGGGAGCTCCTGAGTTTAAAGGAGAAAAAGGTGAAGGTCCTAGGGATGCAGACTTATGGTTGAACGATGTGATGATGATTTTTGAAAGCCTTCAGTGCTCCGATCATGAAAAATTGAGAGGAGTTGTATCGTTACTCAGAGGTTCAGCTCCTATATGATGGACAAACACGAAAATGTATGCGTCACCCGAGCAAGTGAACTGGCAGTTCTTTCTAAAGGAGTTTAAAAACAAGTATATCGGGGAACAGTTCATGAGATCAATGCTGTTGAAGTTTCTCAACCTAAAACAAGACGATCGAGTGGTGCATGAATATGAAGATGAATACAACAAGCTTAGTCGTTATGCTACTGAGGTGGTCCCTAATGACAAAGCTGTTGGGACCATCGACGGACCTCGCGGTGCAACAGAAACAAAACTCGACAGTCTCACCAGTGATCCAAGTATGTAAAACCAAAATCGGGAGGAAAGGATGTGAATACTTACAATGGGTTCCTTGAAAAACAACAATGACAGCAGCGGGAAGTGGTGATCACGAACGGTTCAAATCGTAAGCCTCCACGAAAACATGTCTCGTCCTCTGCTTAGTTCACCCGATTGAGAGCAAAATTTTCTTTTTCCAAAAACGGTTTTGAGAAAAATGGTTGAAGTAAAAAAAACGGCTACTAGACCTTACCTCCTTAAATATATCAATTACCCTAACATCTTAGGGTTTTTAAAGTTATTTCGAATTAATAAATAAAATATTATTTAATTAATTCATATTAAATATACATTAAAGACTTATAATTAGAATTACTATCTTTAATGTTTATTTAAAAATTTATTTAATTTTTCCGAATTATATATATCAATTAAAAGAGTTGTAATCTAAATCACATTCTTTTAATGCTTACTTACTATATTCGAGATAATTAAATTCATATGTATATCAAATATACATATCTTAACTAGATATATTTTAGTAACGTACAACAAATTGTACATCTTTGCTCATTTCAATCCTGACATCTCTATGTCAATGACAACTCCTTATCATCAATCAATAACATGTTAGTCTTAAGCGTATTATTATTGTCCATTTCCATAATAATAATTTACTTTGGATCTTTTAATAATGATATTTTATGGACTTTATTATCTTTCAGTTTATGTTAAACACATACATATAACTGAAAATAATATTGGAAATGCCTTTATTCAATAAAATCAGTAAATAAATGTATTATTACAATCATCATATGATTGGTCTTTGGGCATACTCTAACAATCTCCCACTAGCACTAAGACCAATCACTCACATATCTAATACCGAGTGACTCGGTGTGACGATCATGCCTCTGTTGTGTAAGAGGTTTTGTCGATGGATCAACAATGTTGTCATCCATGTGTACTCTGCATACTTCAACATCTCCTCGATCTATGATCTCTCGAATGAGATGAAAGCGCCTAATAATATGTTTGGATCGTTGATGAGATTTGGCTTCCTTTGCTTGTGCAATGGCTCCATTATTGTCACAACGGAGTTCTATATCATCTAATATGCTGGGACAACCCCTAATTCCAATATGAACTTCTTGATCCAAACAACCTCTTTTGCTACTTCACTGGCTGCAATGTATTCAGCCTCTATTGTAGAATCAACTACTGTGTTTTGCTTCGAACTTTTCCAGCTCACAACACATCCATTAAGACAAAATACAAAATCCGATTACGATCGTGAGTCATCCTTGTCAGTTTGAAAGCTGGCATTAGTATAACCTTTTACACTAAGCTCTTCATCCCCTCCATATACAAGAAATTTATCCTTAGTTCTTCTCAAGTATTTAAGGATATTTTTAACCGCAACCCAGTGAATTTCACCAGGGTTTGCTTGATATCAACTCATCATGCTTAAAGCATACAATACATCAGGTCGAGTACATATCATGGCATAAATGATATAACCAATAGCCGAAGAATATGTAATCTTATTCATCCGTTCTCTTTCTTATGGAGTTGAAGGACACATTTCCTTCGAAAGAGAAATGCCATGTCTCATAGACAAAAATATTTTCTTGGATTCTTCCATACTGAACCTTTTCAGCACTTTATCTATATATGTACTTTGACTTAGACCTAGAATTCTTCTTGATCTATCTCTATAGATCTTAACTCCTAAGATATATGCTGCCTCACCCAAATCTTTTATAGAAAAACAACTACCTAACCAAGTCTTAATTGACTGTAAAGTAGGTATATCTTTTCCTATGATGAGTATGTCGTCTACATACAAGATTAGGAAAGAAACAGTGCTCCCACTAGCCTTCTTATGAACACAAGGCTCATCTTCATTTCTGATAAAACAAAACTCTTTGATTGCATCATTGAAACGAAGATTCCATCTTCGAGAAGCTTGCTTTAGTTCATAAATAGACCTCTATAGCTTACAAACCTTTCCAGCATTTCCTGGAATGACAAAACCTTCTGGTTGTGTCATATACACATCCTCTTCAAGTTTTCCATTAAGGAAAGCAGTTTTGACTTCCATTTGCCAGATTTCATAATCATGGAATGCAGTTATTGTGAGAAAAATCCGAATGGACTTAAACATAGCTATGGGGGAGAATGTTTCTTCATAGTCTACACCATGAACTTGTCGAAAACCTTTAGTGACTAATCATCCCTTTTATGTTTGTACATTACCATCCATGTCAGTTTTCTTCTTGAAAACCCATTTACACCCTATAGGTTTGACCCCTTCAAGTGGTTCAACCAAAGTCCATACTTGGTTTACTGACATGGAATCCATCTCAGATCTCATGGCTTCAAGCTATTTCTCATAGTCTGGGCTAGACATTGCCTCTTGATAAGTCTTGGGCTCATCTTGATCCATAAAAAGAACATCTCCATGTGCATTAACGAGAAATCCAAATCTCTCAGGTGCACGACATTCTCTTGTGGATCTACGCAGTGGTTGTGTTTCTAAATCTGTTGAATGCTCCTCAACAACTTGTGAAACATGCTAAACTTCAGGTTCATTGATTTGTTGTTCTTAAACTTCTACAAGTTCAATATTTCTACCCTTCCCTTTCTTTGAGATAAATTCTCTTTTGAGAAAACTCATGTTCAAGCAATAAACACTTTGTTCTCATTAGGGTTGAAGAAATAGTATCCCTTAGTTTTTTAGTATATCCAACAAATACACACTTATGAGATTTAGGTTCGAGCTTTCTAGACATCTAATGTATTACATAAGCTTCACAACCCCAAATCTTTATAAAAAGACATACTAAGATGTTTCCCAGTCTATATCTCGTATGGTGTCTTTTGAACCAATTTAGATGGAATACGATTTAGTGTGAAAGCGGTTATTTCACGTTCATGTCCCCAAAATAAAGTTGAAATATCACTATGACTCATCATCGATCGAACCATGTCTAACAGTGTTTGATTCCTTCTTTCAAAAACTTCATTCCATTGTGGTATACCAGGCGGTGTAAGTTGTGAGACAATCCCACATTCTTTCAGGAGTTGATCAAACTCTATGCTTAAGTATTATCCACCTTGATCAGATCGAAGTTCCTTAATACTCTTACCTTTTGATTTTGTAATTCATTTTTAAATTCCTTAAACTTTTCAAGGGATTCAGATTTATGGTGCATAAGATAAATATACCCATACCGACTGAAGTCATCGGTGAAAGTATTGAAGTAATGGAATCCACCTCGGGCTTGTGTTTTCTTCGGTCCACATACATCACTATGTATTAACCCCAATAAATCACTTGCTCACTCACCTTTACTATTAAAAGGAGCTTTAGTCATTTTTCCTAACAAGCAAGATTCACATACATAATATTGTTCGAAAAAAATGAATCTAAGAATCCATCTTTATGGAGTTTTGATATGCGTTTCTCACTTATATGGCCTAAACAACAATGCCAAAGATAAGTTTGATTCGAGTCATTTGTTTTTGATCTCTTAGTATTTATGTTATAAATGGTGTTTTCTTGATCCAAAATATAGAGACCATTAACCAATTGTGCCGAACCATAAAAACATTATCGAGATAAAAATAACAATAATTATTCTTAATAATAATCTCAAAACCAATCCTGTCCAAACAAGAAATAGAAATAATGTTCTTAGTCAAACTAGGCACAAAATAACAATCCTCTAAATTTAAATCAAGTCCACTAGGCAAAGATAAAACATATGTCCCTATAGCTAATGCAGCAACTCTTGCTCCATTTCCCACTCGTAGGTATACGTCTCCTTTAGCCAGATTCCTTCTCTTTTGCAGTCCCTGTATGGAAGTACAAATATGAGAACCATAATCGGTATCTAATACCCAAGAAGTAGATGTTGACAAATTTACATCAATAACATAAATACCTGAAACAAACGTTCCGTTTGCTTTTGCCTTCTTGACCTCTTCAAGGTAAACAGGGCAGTTTCTCTTCCAGTGTCTGGTCTTATCGCAATAGAAACATTTTCCTTCCTTGTTAACTCCCCTTTGGATTTCAATGCAATTTTCCCTTTCGGTTTGGCCTTACCATTGCCCTTAGACTTTGCCATTACCTTTTTCTTTCCCTTTCTTTTGTCCTTGTGGACCATCAGAATGGGCTTAGGTCCAACCTTTTTCATGTTACTTTCAGCAGTTCGTAACATGCCGAGTAATTGTGGCAAAGTCATGTTAATTTCATTCATGTTGAAATTAAGATTGGCTAAAGCTATATGGAAACGATTGCAGGATAACATCGGTAGCCAATTCATCTTTGAGAGGAAATCCCAATTTTCCAACGTTTGGATGTAGCCCATCATCTTGATGACATGAGCTCCTACATGAGTTCCCTCTGCCATTTTGCATTGAAAAAGAGTTTAGAGGTCTCATATCTCTCTTGACGTGCTTTCAATTCATATATTTCTTTGAGATTTTGAATCATCTCATATGCAACCATGTCCTCATTTTGCTTCTGAAGCTCATGAGTCATGGTGGCAAGCATTAGATATCCAACATCTAACATATCATCCATATGTTTCTTGAATTTGTCTTTGTCAGCTCTTGAAGCATTAGTTGTCGGTTCATCAAGAAGAGGTTCTTCAATGACATATTTCTTCCTTTCCTGTTTGAGAACAATTCTCAAATTACGAAATCAGTTAAGCAAGTTTATGCCATTAAGTTTATCCTTCTCAAGGAGTGATCGCAGTGATAAAGTGTTGTATGCCATTAAATCTACAACAATGGAAATATTAAAGTAAGTAAATTTACTGAATTAAAATTTATAAATAGGTCTTTATTTACAAATTACTCCTACTATTTTATTCAAAATTAAAAACACTCTCTGTTTTAATTTAGAAAAATTCAACGAAAATTTTTCTAGTGGGTGATGATCCATAGTACATCAATTTCCTAAATCAGCTTTGGCTTTTCTTTTAGGATA